CGATTAATTGTAGTATTTAGCCGATGATTAATTTGACGATTAATCCCCTGGAGTCCCTGGAAACCCTTATTTCTTAGTCACATGACCAATTTAGTGGGAAAGCTTGGCATTTTTTATTCCAAACTGTGTAAAAATTACAGATTTCAGGCTATACATCAAATTTTAAATTGTGTTGATAGATAAATAAATTACAGAGTTTTATTTTTAAGTCATAAGTGGAGAGGAGTATCGGCTAGTCTGCCTGGTGACATTAATCGTATTAATCATCAAGTGCCAAAAAATAATTGATTAATGTTTTTCTGATGATTAATTGCACACGATACGATTATGCCCAACCCTAATGGCCACAGGATAATTTTCCCCCTGTCAACGAACAGGCTTTGTACATTTTAACCCACTCATCACTGATTTTGAATAAACTTGACATATTTGTTCATCATGATCCCACAGCAGAGTTTCTCAAACTGTAGCTCAATCAGACCAGTGGTTCCAGGGATACAGTCCCACAAATTCTAGTGTTTTTAACAAAAAAAAAGGGAATATCTGCCTATTTTCAACCTCAGTTACCTCAGGAACTGCTGGCTCAATGCAATGTGCAAACCTCAAACATATACATTATCTTTTTTACTTACTCAAGTTCCAAACAGAAAAGATCACATTCAGTTTTCTAATCTATAAATATAAATTGACAGAATTTAGATTTTTCTGTGATGGGTAAATTCACTGCCAAACCTCACACATATAAATACAATCAGTCGGAGCTTAAAATAATGAATCAAACACAACTGGTATGGGCATTAGGGTTGGGCATAATCGTATCGTGTGCAATTAATCGTCAGAAAAACATTAAATCGATAAATTTTTGGCAATTGACAATTAATACGATTAATGCCACCTGGCAGACTAACCGCTTGGTGCTCCTCTCTGATTTAAATATGACCAACATTAAAAAAATTGTGTAATTTATTTATCTATCAACACAATTTAAAGTTTGATGTATAGCCTGAAGTCTAATTTTGACACAATTTGGAACAGATTTTTACGAAGAGCCAATTTTCTCCCTATAAATTGGTCATGTGACCAGGATATAAGGGTGTCCAGAGACTCTGGGGGATTAATCGTCAAATTAATCGTTATCGGCTAAATACCACAATTAGTCGTGATAAWTTTTTTTGCCAATACTGTATTGCCCAACCCTAATGGGCATTTAGTTTSACAACATTAAATAACTGTATCACACAGAGCAGCTTCTGAAGATGGCTCAGTGGATCTGTGTTCGACTACTCCACCTAGGCTGCATGTTGAGCACAGATCCACTGAGAAACTTGCTGTTTCAGCAACATTTAATTTAAAAACTGTACTTTTGATGTTAAACAAATGTTCAGAATTAATTTCAATCAACTACAAGTTAAGAAGGGAATGGAAATTTCTCTTTTTTTAATCAAAAAAATATTGAACTGTGAGACTAATGTATCAAACCAAACTGAATTTTCTGTATCGTTGCACCACCAATTACAAAATAATTGATTACTATAATAATCATTTGTAGGCCTAATTTACTCTAAACTGATTTGTGTTCAACTTTGATCACAGATGAGATTTCTTTTACAAATATCTTTAAACTATAACTCTGTGTTTTGAGCTTGTTTTGGAGTGTTTTGGTGCCACAGTTGAGAGTTTATGTTGTTATTTACATATTAAATACATGGGCCGAGCCGAAGTCCCTGACAGCTGGATCATTCAGTAAAGAAGTGAGTACAGGTGGGACCTAAAATAATTCTGTATTTTGAATATTGTGTAGTTTGTTCAGTTCATCTGAGTAAGAGCAGATCAGAAGGAGAAAATTATAAAAGAACTGAAACAATGAAAGCTGTAATTATTTTGTAATGATAAATGCATCATGTTAAGAAAGTTACAAAATGATTTTTAAAATAAAATAAAAACTTAAAACAGCCTTTTCTGTTATAGATCTAAAGCAGATTTTACTGTTTGCACAGATTTTTAAACATACTTCACATATAAATGTTCTTATTGAGATGTCTGAACTATTTTTGATAATCAAATGTGTAATTATATATTTCTTTATGTATTATTAGCTCTGATTAAAGATGATGTTTTGAGTGACTCATTGTGTGGGTCATGTCACCACAGGCTGTAGATTTAAAGGGACAGATCAGTGAAAACACAACTTTCTCTAAACAACAGGGCCCGTATTTATAAAACTTCTTAGAATTACTCTTAAGAATGCTGCTAAGAGTGGACATAAGTGTAAAAAAATCTTAGTTAAAAGCTGAGAGTAAAAGTCAGTTATCAAGTGTCTCGGTCTTACTTTAAGTGAAGTGTAGGAGTAATTCTTAAGTGTCAGTCTTAAGGGCTCGACACACGGGCAGCGACAAACTACAGCGATTAACGGCTGTCATCGCAGCCAGGGTGAAACC